AAGGTAAAGTTATTTGACAGTGAAAGACTCAAGAGAAAACACTGGAGAAAAACTGACAGTACATCGATATAAACCAATCCTTTGCAATTCTGGCAGATGAGATTTTTTTTCTAATGCTTTACTTTAAAAATCTAGTTACAGCCTATAGGTCCTACCTATGCACCCAATTCCCCAAGCCAGAGCGGTCAAATCAATTAAGTTTTGGGGTTTGGTTTTTTTTTTTATTTAAAAAAAATAAATAATGATAATAATAAAACCCCTATTAATTTGTACATGCAGTATTTCACAAATAAATGTAAACAGCAATGGAGCTGCTGAGTCTGGTTCTCCAGATCTGTATTTCATCTTATTTGATCAGCTTACACCTTCTCAACAAATAAAACTGTAGAAAGCAACTGTGGTTGTAACATTAAATATATGTGCAGAGACAAGAGAAATCAAGAGCCATGTGCTGATCTATCCTCCCTGAGATCCAGTGACGTGATGTGTGGGAACAGCCCAAAGCTGTGTCATGGGAGCTTTCAGCTGGACACGAGGAAACGTTTCCTTACTGCAAGGGTGGCCAGACCCTGGAACAGCCTTTCCAGAGAGGTGCTCAATGCCACAAGTCTGTCAGTGGTGGAGGCATTTGGACATTGCTCTTAACAACATGCTTGAACTTTTGGTCTGCCTTGAATTATTCAGGCAGCTAGATTAGATATTGTTGTAGGTCACTTCCAATAGTCTATTCTGTCTATTCTATTTTATGTCAAGTATATATCATTACCAAGTGCTACAGACTATGATAACAGATCACATTCACTCAATGGTATACAGCACAGACACCCAAAAACTCAGCAGCTCTGAGTTGCTCTGAAACCACAGCAGTGTCTGTGGGACTGACAATAAATCCATTTATGGAACACCATTCTTGCTCTCAAATCACATTCTGATTTTCCAAATTTGTTCTGGTTTCCAGAACTGACAGCATTTTAACAACAACATGCACACATACAAGGCCTCTCAAATTAGAAACAATTCATTTGAAATTGCTATGCAGAGAGAACAGCAAGTTTCAGCTCCAGGAAAGCTCCATAGATGTGTAAGCATCATCCACTGAGAAAAAGGGGTTTAAAGTTTTGCAGTTTCTGACTAACAAGCTCCTTTGGATCCCTTCTCCTAAGGGTACTACAAATGGCAAGTATTAGTTTTCTCATGTCCCAGTTTTGACCTACAGCTAACAATGCAAGCAGCAATGCTTTGAAAACACCATTTTAAAAACTTACAGGTCAGTTTTGTTTGGGGTTTTTTAGTTTAAACATGCCATCACATTTTCAAGCTCATCCACAAACCTGTTTGCCATCTGTACATCAGTCCCTTCGGAGCACCAATGACAGGCTCAGAAATCTCAATTTGAACAGAAAGCTTAAAAAGTAGCTTTGCGCCTATGTGAATCCTTGAATCACAAAAAGGTTACTACAGCACTAGTTTAAATAGAGGCCACACAAAAACCACCTCACACTGCAATCACTTAACTGAAACTGAGCACATAACTCTTTTGGAAGCAAGAATATAGTTTAACTTTACGTTTGTGGTTGAGCTTCTTTCTCTAAATCACATGAAAAGAACAATGATTCCCCATGTATACTTCCTACCATAACAGTCAGTGAAAAACAATTTTTCCCTCAAGTAATTGCCACATACATAAAAGCAATATTCTACCAAATGCAACGACTGCTTGCAAGGGCAGACAAAACAGGCCTATTTTATGCATACACCAGGGTCTGTTCATTCTTTACTGTTTCATCCCTTGCCACTGGAGTTCCTTGCACCCATGTCCTGCACTTTTTTTATAAAATGAGCTTGATGGGACCAAAACAATCTCATTACTCATCAGCACAACAGGATCTTGTTTATGCAATATACATTGAAATGAAAGACAAAGAAGGAAACAAAATTTATACTTTTTGTTAATTGCAGTTCTCTGGTACCTGACACACCATTAACATGAGTGCCCACCAAGTCTTTGAAGAAAAAGTATCTCTGAATTTTATTTACCGATTTCAGTCACCAGAGACTATCACTATAGCTCCCTTTTCTCACTATAGCAAAGTCCCTAGAGTTTTTTTTTATTTTTCCCCAAAATCTAGCAATACATCTCAGCACATCCAGCACTGAAAACTACTCTTTTGTTTGGCCTTTAGTTCTGTGAATGCATTGCGCCTCTAAGAAAACCCTGCTGGTACTACTCTTCTGTGCTTCCTACTCATGCAGATGTTCTCTAACTGCACAATAAACACCAGGACAAACACATGCTAGAACTATCTCTGTCAGTAATTAAAGTTTCATCATTGTGTAATAGACATTGTTAAGTGGAATGATGACTTTTTGTAATTCTACCAGCACAATATCATTGAAATGAAGGTCTCTCTTTAAAGTTCTCTTTTAAAAGGACTTAGGGATAATTTACAATGTCATCTTACAGGACTGTGCAAAAGACACTTCAAATAAAAACAGTATTTGATTGGTTTCCTTACGTGAACTATTCTGGTGGTGATAGACAATGGTCTATTTTTATTCGAAATTGGTTTTCACTTGTAAAAAAAGTTCCATCCCTGTGAAGCTAAGGCTTGCAACATTGATTTCCATGCCACTGCTTGGGAAGATGCTGCAGAAGAATAATGTGGATGTCAGGGCGTTTTATGTAGTGGCAGCAAGATTCTGTGAGCAGTCTGGGCAGTGGATTTGCTCCAGGTTGTTCTGACTACTGCATGCAGTATTTTGCTAAAATGAGCAGGACATCCAAGCAGTGAGATACAATGAGATTTTGAATAATCAGAACAACATCAAGTAACACTGGTCAACGAGACGCTGCTCAGTAAGAACAGACCAGCAACTTGTACACCCCATGGATTACTCTGCCCACATGGATGACAATTTCAAAGGTAGGAAATTAAATCTGAAATTAAAAAAAAAAAAAAAAAAAAGAAGACCTGACCTGAACCAACAAAGCAAGCCAGAAAATTGAGCAGAGTCAGACATTTTTCTTAGGCCTCCCACTGTCACAAGCTTTTACTTGCATAAAGGATAATTCCACAAAACTCCCAAAAGAAAACACCTTGGTGTGCCTTAATAAAGCAGTGACAGAGAACAAGTTCTTTTTGGAATAGTGAAGAATCATCAACCACTTAATTCTCCAGCGTGCTATCAGCTCATCAAAGAGCAAATCAATGGGCAGGGAAAGAGCATCTTGGAAGGGACAGTAGAAAACATCTTTATTTACATATAATTCAGGTAGCACAAAGCACCTGTAACAAAATGGCTGAAAATCTGACCAGGCCCTTTTCTGTGGATGCAGCATGGAAACTCAACAAAGATAATAAATTATTATTGTAGTCTTCATAAATGCAACCCCAATCTTCGAGGTTAGCAAATAACTCTATTTTTAAAAAGTATTACTAGACAAGAAGAATCCTCCACGAGGTCATGCTTTCCTGCTTTTAACAAAACTGAGCAAAGGGACCCCATCCACCAGACTGCCAGCTCAGATCGCTGGGCATTCAAAATGGTTTCATACAGTTTTACTTCTGAGAAGAGACATTGTTGAAAGCTATTGTTCAGCCAGCCAACTACTGTCACTTCCATGAATATGAATAAGCTCCAATATAGGACACTGAGTTTTTGCAAATGTAAGAAGATCCAATTGTTCAGTTATTCTTTGCCAATAAATCAACCCACCAGTATTTAGAGATTTTTGGTTTCCTCTAGTGTTTGAATATGTGGGTGGAGTTTTGCTTTCAAGTCCTCTTCTTCCCATTTTAATAAAGATTTTTTTTCATAGCACCTTGCTAAGTTTTCAGAGCAGCTGAAGGAATCTTACTGTCACTGGGATGAGGCCCTTGGAAACAGATATATTGCTGTTTCTCCGGATAATATTAACTAGCACCTACTCTGAGGAAAAGAGCGAGCAGAAGAAATTGCTCAGAGTTCATGAAAATTAACATTTGGTATAATTTTGTAGCCATAATTTACATGTACACAACTTAGACATAAATACATATGGATTAATGCAAATCTTCATACCGGGAAAGATTCGCTGTGCTCTGTAAAACTAAGGGTAAGGCTGGTGATGAATCATTTTTTAAATATTCTAGTCTGGGTATATAAATAGCTTTCTGTTTCTAGAATAATTACTACTGAAAAATACAGCTTCTTAAATAACCTAGGCCATAATTAACCTTCGCTTCATTAAATCACAAATAATATCTTTTTAAAGTCTTATTTGTAAAGGCAAGCTGATTAATTTAAACGTTTCCCTTTTGCAAAAAAAAAAGAGAAAATTTTAAAATCTAATTGGAATGATTTACCAACGGAGCTACTTTTCAGCTCTTGCAAACTCTGGGAAGGCTTTCAGCTGGCTCCCTCACCCCCTGCCCGGCCCCCCGAGGGAGCTCCACGCTCACGCTGCCGCCCCGGCCC